AAGTTTTAAATTAGTAATGCCAAGGTGGCATTTATTTCTTGACGTCTACGTCCATTGTTGCGTTGCTATAGTTTGGCGGGAAACAAATCGATTTCATTGCGGATAAGTAAGGTAGTAAAGGTTTTATGAAAATAAATTTATTTGTTTTAACAAAAAACAAAAACACAAAATAGAGAAATAAAAAGTACAAAGTAAAAAAGAAAAAACAATAGAAAAATATATAAATAAAAATAAAACAATTTTTAATAAGTTATTAAATATAGCAGTTTGGTGCTAACCTTGTACTTTTACGGAGCAAAAGCCTAAGTAAAAAAATGTAAGGGAAAAAAGTGAAAAGCTATTAAAATAATATTGATAAAAATTTATTAACTACATAAGTTGCCAGTATCTTTTATAACATAATACTTTAAAATATGATGTCACATCAATTAATATATTTATATAACGGCGATTTTATTTCAAGCAAGACTGCATTTCATATTAAGTCATTGATTGATATCGAAATTGAAACACTCACATGGTTGAATGAAATCATGTGACGTAATGACATATGATGCAACATCACGTGATTTCCAATGCTATGTAGCGAGTTTTTGGCGAAAAAGTCCTTTTAATGTTAATGAGAAAATATGGTTTCATTTGATGTGTCACAAAAAAGTCTTAAAATATATTAACAACGTACTATTAAAATGAATTATTATGCTGCAACATCACTTAATTTCCTTTGAAGAAAATTTTAACTCATAAAAGTGTAAAATATAATATTTAGCATAAATTAGAAGATGAAATGAAAATATATGACATCATGTGATGTTATGACTTACAATGTGACAGCACATAATCTTCTATAAAGTGATTTTTTGAGTTAAAACCAATTATGTAGAGAACTTAATATTTAAAAATGCTTCTTTGAAAACAAATACAGTTGTATTATTTCATGTGACTGCATACCAAGGCATGGCGATATGATATTTATGATAAGATATGATATTATGATGGGTATGATATTTATAAATAGTACTTGATATTGTTATGTCTATTAATGCAAACACTTATTTATCAAGATATAAGATATGGTAATCAAAGTGTTGTACAATATTTTATGCCATGGATAGCGAAAACAATTATTTTAAATTATATCACATAATATGAATATCAGTATGATCTATGATATTATAATTTAACAATTACTTCCATTAAATTGAGGGATATTTAAAAAAAAAATAAATAAATAAAAATCAAATCAATTGTTATAGCATACCACACTTTGCGATGTGATATCAGACTATCTTTTTAAACACTCGGATCTTGCGTTATTCGTAGTTAAAATAATTTGTATTGATTGAGTTTAAAATCTTTAATTTTTATCGCAGTGATATGATGGTATGGTATATCATGTGATGTGATGTCATATGATTAATTATAAAGTTCGTATTTCTGTTATATGGAATATATGTATATAATTATTTTTGGTTTAATTCAATTTCAAACGTTTCACTTCAGGCATATTCAAAAACGATATCATTGCAAATTGCGAATTCTTTTACACAAATTTAACAGATGAATGTTCTTGAAGATGGTATGTTATGATAGTTATTTTATACTAGATGTAGTGTGAATGTTTGTTCATTTTGACTTTAAAGCTGTTTTCTGAATATATTTTACCAGTTTTTCACTTCAAACATTTATGTATCCAACATCATAAAAATATCTCACATAAAATCATCGCAATCCATTTTAATACATCAATAAATAAAAATATGAAAACGGTAAGCACTGAATATATAATATTATGAAAATATATATAATATAAATGCTAGTAAATGATAACTAATGCTTCTTCTTCTTCACATACCCACGCCTGACCTACTCACTAGCGCGAAGTGTGCAAAAATTAACCTGCCACAACTCAAATTGCGAAACCCAAGGAATCAACTGCGTATACGATGTGATATAAAGCAACAGCCATATAAACCAATTCACACACGTACGCATATAATCGTACATTCAATGATATGAACTTTATCACATCATCTGTGTCGCTCATCACCTACTTTGAGTTTCTTACTTCCACGCTGAGTTGACCCAAATTTGAATACAGCACAGTTACTGCTGTTGCTTTTTGCAGCAAAATGCTTGAGAGGCGTAAGTTGTTGCAACTATCCCGTTGTGCAGAGGCAAAAACAAAGCGCCAAAAACAATTTACCAATTTATGTGGCATGTTGCATAAACACATATACACGCAAATGCGCTGGTGCATTGTAATGGGAAGTGATGTGGCTGTGATTTGGCTGCGCCTGTAGCCGCCTTTTTGCATTTTCTTTATTTTAAGTTATTCATTTTACTCGCCATCTTCGCGTCGCTGGCAAATCACTAAATTTATTTGTTTTCAGATTTTAAAATATTTATTGTCGCGTTGTTGCATGTCGACGCGTCGCTCTGCAGAAAGGGCTTGGAGCGGCGCATGAGCACACTTATACATACCAAATTGTGGGTTGATAGCTCGCTGGTGCAAAGAAGCTGCGAAGGAAGTGGGCTTTTTAAGTGTTATAAAGGAAGAAAGGAAATAAAATGAGCTGAATTTTGGTTAGATCACAAAAAAATCAAGAAAAATATCAGAAAAAAACATTTAAGGAAAAATCAAAAAAATAAAAATAAAAACTAATAATTCTACGCCTGGTGAATCGCGCATGCGTACAATTTGCTTGCAAAAATCACAAAGAAATGGGCAGTGGCATTAAAAATGCGTCGACGGGTTTTATTATAGCGTCAGAGTAATGCATGGTCGCTGGCGATGCCAACAGTTGTTGTAGCAATAGGTTATCTTAAGTAATATATTTTTGATGTGGTTATTGTTGCTGTTGGTTATCTTAAGTAATAGTTGATGTTGTAATTGTTGTTACAGAAGTTATAGAGACAATAAAAGAAACAACAGTTATGAGGAATAACCGCTTCTACTGCTCACGAATAAACATAAGTATCCTAATATCTCTTTCTCGCTCTTTTTGGATATTTTCAAACATGTCAATTGACAGATTTTGGTTATAAATGTATCAATATATCATTTGTTATGAGTTTAATGCTTTTCAGACTCTTTCGATTTTATTCTGAAAACTAGTTACAAACTGATACCTTTTTTGACTAGTTCGATCATTCACTGTTGGTGAGTTAATTAACTAGGATCTAAGTTAAATACACATTCTTGCTTAAAATTTTCAAAGCAAACCGCTGATGGAAAGTTTTGGAATCGGACTACTAAATTTTAGTCTTTCTTCCCCTGTAGCTTGACATGGTCCGATAGTACTCGAGCATAAATTCCTTAACACATCTCAGCACCATATCTTACCATGTCAAGGAGCAAAATAAATTAAATATACGAACGGAAAGAAACGACAGCACTGTAAGGTATTTCCTGAAGATGGGAGTATATAGTTGGATTCTGTAATTTTCAAAGGTTTAACAAATAATATGGAAGTAATAGAGATCCATAACGCTAAAAAAAAGTCTTATTGGCACTTAAATATTTATATTATATTTGTTATATATTTTCGCTTTGTGTAGGAGGTTACGAAAAATTCAATTGTTTCGAAAAAAGGCTGCATTTAAGCGTCGAACAACAAAAACAAAATCAGCAACAACAATAGCGCATCACAAATGCCACAAAAATTACAGGATGCGGCTCAGCGCTAAAAAGCGGAGAAAAAACGCGCAAAAAAAAAAGCGCAACAACTCAAATAGCGAAATGAATGAGCCGAGCACTACAGCGCCTTAAAACTAAATACGAGTGTTGGCTTAATTTTTTATTTAAACATAAATGTATATATATGCATCTATTTGATGTTTTTGTTGTATTTTATAGAGTTTAGCTTGTTGGCTGAAGCCCTGCGGCTGAATTATTTAAGCCGACGAATTCAATTAGGGGCACCGCCGCAAACGCAACAACAACAGTTAAGTGAACAATAACAACAACAACTGTATTGAAAGCAAAAAGTGTCTATATAAAACAACAACAACAATGTGATGATGATGAATGAGAGTTTTAGTGCCCTTACCAGATGAGGCGTTTTGACTTGATTTCGACGCGACCAAATGCAGAGAAGAAGACGAAGCCGAACAAAACAAGAAACAACAAATGCGCCAAGACTGGGTACAACGCGGTTCAGCGGAGAGTTGACGCAGCAGCAGGAGTATTGGGAGTGTTGCAGTTGTGAAGAGGCGTCTCATCAAGCTGTTGTTGCATGCTGTTTGCGATTGTTGCAGTGATGTGGACGACAAATCGTGCGTTGGCGTTTGACGAGATTTACTCTTTGATTATTTTTTTTTTGACTTTTATTTCGTTTCTTGGTTTTTTATGCTAATGCCTTTTGGTTTCTTGTTTGTGACTCTGCAGTCTTCAACTCAGATGCTGTTGTGTTTGTACTGTTGTTACTGTTTCTTTATGATCGTCATACGGCAACTGAGACAAGTGTAGTGTGCGCTTGGCGAACACTTCGTTCCGTTGCGCCGCCGGCTCATTTCCATTTCCACTTGATGTTGCAAATTGGCACTGCTTATATAAACAACATATAAACAGGGTGCTTGGTAATTAGGCGCATTAAAGCAGTCAACGAGCTAGTGTCTACAGAAATGCATGTTAAAATGGGTGACATGATATTAGATGTGGGGAAAAAATTTATGTTTTAGGCAATTGGAGACTGAAGACATTACTACTGGCGCGACACTTGGCAACCGAGAAACTTCTTGTGTTCAATGTAGTTTGCTATAGAGCGAGCGTTACAACAACAAGTTGCTTAGAAAGAAACCATAATATATTTTAATTCACAAGAAAACGAATTAAATAACAATTTTTTTTTGGTTCTAGGCATGTCTTAGAGTGTGACCGAGATTGTTGCACATTTATGTTCTTTAAAGATCATTTAAAAAATTATTTCAAAAACTATTTTTGACATGTTAGAAGCTGCTATAACAGCAACAACAATAATTTTTATTTCTAATTTCAGATTTATTGAGTCTTCTATTCACTAATTATTGAGTAAATCCTTTCCTGCATTCCAAGGGTTATGAGTTATATGCTGCTTAATTCTACATACGGAATTTTTTTTCAAGTTTATCAATAAATGAGGTAAGGCGAAAGCAACAATTTTGAGCGAAAAAACGTTTAATGTGCTTAAGATTAGCTGACACCCTTTATTTGTAGATGTTTTCAATTACCATATCGAATATGAAATATGGCACAGTTCATTTTTTTATTGGTTATGCTTAATCAATTTGTTGTTTCTCTTGTTTTGCTAATTTTGAATTATTCAGTTTTAATATTTTTTTGTTAAAAATTTGTATTTTGAAGACAAATAAATTTTTGAAATTCACACACCTCAAACTTCTTGAGAACAGAAGAAGAAGATTTCCTTGCGGTATGTTAAGTGTAGATTGGTGTCTAAATAATTTGCACTTTCTGTGATAGACTACTGAATATCATTAGCGACTCATTTTTTTTGTATTGTATAATCTGTACTTTGTTATAGCCCATTTACATATATAATGCAAATTTTCATATTAAAGTTTAACAATTGCAATAAAATTCTGAATTATTGTATTATTGGTATATAGTATGTTGCTACGAAGTTATTGTGAAATATTGTGTGATCGATATGATATCGATATACATATATATTATATGCATTTTGTCATACTTGATAACAGCTATCCTTCGAAAAATCTTAAAGCTTTGTGCATAGCAAACTTTTTAACATATACCATACATATTATATTATTTTTTTTTTATAACAATTTTATTTTATAACAAATGAAAGTAAAATTTTAGTCAAAGGCATGTAATAGCATAGAAATGTTCCTCTCACATATGGCCTAAGTCTAACCAACCTTTTTTCTGTCATTTTCAGAATTTTCAAGCATTTATCTCATACAAGATTACCAAAGGCTTGCAATAAATTGGTCTTGGCCGAAAATTTTCGCTACTGATGACAGAAACACAATTACGCAATGTAAATTTTTGAAGTGAAAAGTACAAGTTAAAATCATCTAATAGTATTTTAAACCCAACAAATTTCTATTTCTAAAACAAAAATCAATAGATGAAAACAATGCCTGGAAAAATAAACAAAAAATATCTGAGTGGCTATTCAGAGTAAGCAATTCAATCGAATTTCGAAGCATAAAATTAACTCTATGACACGTTTAAAGAATTTGTTGCATAAATTTGTTATATAATTTTAATAAATTTAATTTATTATATAAATTTAATAAATAAAATATTAAACTAATTTTTTTATTGTCCCCGTATTTTATAATATATAAATATAAATATTATGTATAAATATTTTATATACTACATACTCGTATATACATATTTTTAAAAATATATATTAATAATACAATATAGGTATTGATTTATCAGAAGAGCTATCATATTAGTATGTATATATTAGGGTGGAAACATTTTTTTTTTGTTAGCCTGAGTTAAAAACTTTTTTCGACAAAAAAAATTATTTTTGGTTTAAGCTCTTTACATTTATTGAAAAATTTTTGCCACAAAATTTATTTTAACGCTTAAGGAAAGCATGTTGTCCTTTAAGACTTTTTTTAAAATCCAATAATGACCACAAACATTTTTTTTAAGTTGATAAGTTTTAATTGACCAGAAAGAGTACTCTCCACAGCTTCTAGTACACCTATCAAAAAATTTTTAGGAAATAAAAATTTTGACTCGAAAATATACCTTAAAACTGCCGTCGAATCGTTAGAAGTCGTCAAATTAGTCGTTAAGTTGGAAAGTAGTCAAGTTATTGAAAGTCAAGTCAGATAGCAGCGGTCGATACAAGAGGTCGTCATTCAGTTGTCAAGTCCTCGAGTCGTCAAGTCGTTATAAGTTGTTTGAGCAGATATATTTTGTGTTAACCATAACTTGAATTTTTGAAGTCACATTACTTTAACTTTGTTCCCTAATATTTACATTTAATAAACATTAATACTTAACCAACACTTCTTATTGTTACATATATGCTATAGTGGTCCGATCTGAAGAATATATATTAGAGTTTGTAGCGTAGCTTTGGACAATAATCCATGCGGAATTTCGTGAAGATATCTTGTCAAATAAATATATAATAACTTTTTCTTACAAGTACTTGATTTAGATTAATCAGTTTGTATAGTATGTATTTTGCTGAAGTTTTGCATATAAAGATACAGTAAAGAGAGTGGCGTTATATTTTATTATAATATAACGAGAATTTCGGATTATGAGCGGATTATGCTGATATTCGAAAAATATATTGAAAAGGCATTAACAGAAATTTTATTGGAACAGGGCTTTCAGAAAGAGCTTTAAGGTTCGTATAAGCTATATTTTACATCTAACGCAACGTCAGCAGCTCAGCACGGAAAAAAGTTCTTATTTAATAATTATGAAAGAAGAAAAAAGAGTTCTAAGAAAAAAGAGGGCAACGCAAATTAAGACGGATATTTATACCTAAAACATTTTTTTACAAATGAGCGCATTAAAAAAACTTTCTAATTACTTGCTGTATTAACAAACAAATGGCGATCGAAAAGTGGTCAAATAATAAAAACTTGCCAAAGGTGACAGTGAAAGAAGTGAACACGAAAAAGGACAGTAAACCAATTAAAGCAAAAACAAATTGCGACAAGTTGAAACAATAATAAGTACGCATATATATGTACTTTACGAGTACCTATATGTTTACATAAGGTGATCTGCCTGTTTTTGTGTTAAACAAGGCTAGCAGCTGGGCCAAGGGCGGTTGACAAATTTGCTACAATGTAAGCGATGAATAACAACAACAATACATACACCAACAACGAGAGCAGCAAGAGCTAGTGGGGCATTGACTAATTTACAAGTGAACACAAATGCGTGCAACTGCCAAGTGGCGACAATACGGAAATGTGTTAATGGCACTTGCACTCCGCCAAATATGGCTGCGTAGTGACAGCGCCACAGCGCGCTGGTAAACACGTATGCAAAGTGTTGTTGTTGTACATAGTTTGTTGGTGATAAGCTTTTTGGTGTGACTTGGCATGTGGAGTGAAATTAAGCGCATCGCGGCGGTCAACAAGCGCGACACGAGTGAACATTGATATATGCTAAGCGAGAGCGCGCGTTGAAGCACATACTTGAACACAACTTAAAGCCAGTAGATATATATATTTATATATGTGCATATGTATGCCAAATTGATTGTCGAAGGCGAAAAATGTTTTGCTGCTGGCAAAATGACGGTAGCCTTCGCACGCCAGCCAACCGCCCAGCGGCTACTCAAAGGCGCAAGCGCTAACAGCAATAGAAAAAAAAGTGAGGCCAAAGAAATGTGGCATGCGATCGAATGTGGCAATGCAAATCGTGTCGATTTGTTCAAATCAAATTGAAATTTACCGTAAGGTTGAAGAAGATCAACGCGCCGACGACGACATTTGCGCGCGACGCTACACGCAAGAGTACAATAAAAGCAACAATAAAACGCTGATAAACCGTAAACAACAGCAGCGCTAAGTACAACAAACATAAACAACAAATCAACGGCAAGTGACCGCATTTGCAGGCGTGATATTTACTTTTAAGGTAGCTGGCGTGTCGCCATGTGCCGCTATGTGCCGCGCGTCTCGATGTCCACTAAATTTGGGGGTGGCGCGGTGTGCGCATGCGCTTTGCATGTCGATCGCGCAGTAGTCGGCGCGCGTAAACACAAGTCGTGACAACATGTTTTTCGGCATTTTTATCACCGCCGTTTTATAAATACTTTGCCGTTCGCAGTGACATCTTCGCCGCGTTTGTTGCTTAAGTCTTTCCTTTGTTGTCAATTGTATTTGCTGGTGTGGCACAAAAGAAACCAACGAAGAGCGTGTTTTGCTTTCCTACACACACTGATTTGATGGCGTATTAATTAGTGACCGTTGGTTATTGCTTATACGCACTGACAGCTGGCGATTGTCGGCGCAAGTGGACGCACGCACACAGTTACACATGCTAAGGCATAGATATATGTGGTACTTTGTAGAAGTTATAGCTAATTGCGTTGATATTTGGTGTATATATGTATGAGTTAGCTATATATTCGTTGGAGTAGAATTCGTATAAGCTGTTACTGTTAAGCTAAACCCTTCTTATTTCAGAAAAAACTTATTGAAATAATGTAATAAATAATTGTAAAGGACTTATCCAGAGAGCCACGTGTGTGTATATGTTTATTTCTAAAAATAAAAAATAAAAATAATTGCATACTAATTAGCTTAAATTTTATAGAAAAATGTACTTATATCTACATATACATATATAAATAAAGTGTCACGTTTTCTACGGGGTAAACTTCTTAACTTCTGAACCGATTTTAGTAAAATTTAGCGCATTGTGTTTGAGTCAACTTACAAGATAGCTGAGTTTATATCTCGAATATACCAATAGCCAGAACTATTCATAAATAGAAATTAAATAATTAATTTTTACTCCACTATTTGACATTAAGTGGTAAAGAGAATATTGATTGATTCTCTATTGAAATGAATAAGCGCAACAAAGTCGCCACTTTTAGCGGAACGAAAATAACAATGACCGCATCAAACCGTAAACTGGCTAAATAAAATGTCAAAACTATTAAACGCAAATAAGAATAAAGAGCTGACACCAACACCAACAATACCACCAACCTCAACAACGCCGGCACTGCGACAGAACAAATATTAAACTCATTGCTATAGACGACAACGCCTGCCGCTACGCCTGCGCTGTCACTCACACACGTCGCCCATCAAAGGCGTCAATGGCCACGAAGCTGTCAAGTCTGCTGGTGGCTGCGGTGACTCCATTTAATATTCATAAATATAAGCCATAAGAGTTTATGGTATAATTCGCAAGCCACATTTGTAAAAGAAAACAAAAACTATTATAAAAACAAAGATAAAAGTACAACAACAACAGATGTGATTAACGAACACATTGTGTATGTCAAAAGCATCGAAAGGGTATATAAGTAAAAAGACTCGTGTTACTAAACTGCTGAAAGCATAAGCGCCAGCCAACAGGTTGTTGATGTCTAAAGGCAAATAACAAAAAAAAAAAAATGCCAAAAAGTCTGTGTAATTATAAAAAAAAATTGAATTAACCGAAAATCGATTGATCAAAATAATAATATAATTTAAGCAAAACCACCAACACGATAATAATATGTATGTATATGTATGACTGAGGCGTACGAGTAATGTGAGATGCGTAATGGCCCAGTAGGAAAGTAAGACACAAACGTAAAGAATTTTAATGTAAAATTTTGTTGATATAATAACTTAGTAAAAAAAATGAAATAATGTGGCTAGTCCAAAAAGTAACTAGTTGCATAACTAGTTGACCTGAAATTCATTAAACCTTAATTTTGGCTACATTTATTAAAACTTATTTAAAATCACAAAAATTAACTGACCTGAAGGTAGCATTCAAGATTTTTTTTACAGGGTGTATTAATTTCAAGGTCTTGGACCTTATATTCGGTCTCTCAGAAAATGAGTAAAAATGTCTTCACGGTCATAAGGGAGACCGCCTATTATCACACGGCGAATCGGACTAATAAAGAAAAATCTCGTAGACGTCTATTATCAAAAAGAGCTATCTTGGACTACCAATATCTCATGATTTGACTCAACCTGACTTTTTTGGGGGGATATTTCATTTATATATCATTGGCTAGCTCAAAGCAAGCATTCGTGCTGAAATAGTCGCTATGCCGCCAGATATTTTGAAAAAAGAATTATGAAAAATTATGTAGAATAACCGCAAATTATTGTGCTTAATAAAAGTGGCCACAAAATGTCTTTTGTATTTAAAAATAGTTCAAATAAATTATAAGAATCAAGAGCGGCTGCTACTTTTCTAAATTTCGCGCTATGTATATAATGTCAATAAATGCTTCCAACGTTATTTAGTACCCGAAAATAATCAAAAAAGCAACCGCAAATAATTAAAACATATATGAGTTCTGTTTTGCGGCTATAAAATATTAAAGCTTTATGCGCTTTCATTTTCCTACAGGGCTACGCATAACAGCAAATGTGCGCTTATTTGACACCAACGACACTGCTCCATGTATGTGCGTATACATGTGTGTGTGTGTTTCCCAACATGACAAGTTGAAGTTTACACGCGTTCATTTGCGCTGTCAGGTGGTTTCTATTGATTTTTCATTTATTTTTATTGTTATTATTATTACTTTTTTTTTGCTTGGCTTAGCGATTATAGAACACCGAACAGGTTCAATGT